TAATTATTAATAATACAAGATCTTGTCAGAAACGAAGTCGATATTGCTATGCAAGAGAATGAAGATAAATTAATTGTGAAATTTTTGAATCAACTATTATATTTAGAAAAATGCATAAAAGAAGCGTTGCGCTTGCAAAACATCGTACCTTTGATATCACGCATATGTGGAGAAGACGTAAAATTACGTACGTATTAAATGAAACTCTTATTGTATTTTTAAATTTATTTTATTTTTACATATATTATTCAATATAATCTAAGCTAGCAAAATAATGTTTTGAAAATATTGGTAGATGTAGTTTTGTAGATATATATATATAAGAACTAAGTAATGCAAGATTTCAAAAAATCAAAAATTTCTATATTTTATTAATAATGCTTATTTATCCAAAATAAAATATTTCAAACATTCCAAATATAAAACTGCTACAATATGTAACACCATAGAATATTAAAAGAAAACCAATATTATTCAGGAAATTAAAATAATTATTACATTTTTCATTAAACAAATTTATAGACACTTATTTCTGCATTGTAATAAATAGATACTCAATTTAAATTTTCTTATGTTTTTAATTATTATTTATAAATTTTATTTTATAAATTTTATGCTTTTTAGAATCATATTTAATATGATTGCTGCTGACACGATTGTGATTATTGATATTAACGGAATCCACAAAGATCCCAATTTTTGGCCAAATCCAGAGGTATTTGATCCTAGATTTTTGCCCGAGAGGATATGAAACCTCTTCCTCATATATTCCATTCAGTGCTGGACCACGTTATTATATCGGTAAGGTATAATCTTTTATATATCTTTATATAAACAAATTACAACAAATATTAAATTACAGATCAACGATATGTTATACTGCAAATATGTTATACTGAAGATGATGATAGCATCTTTGATACATCATTTCTACTTGGAACCCATTGATTATATAGAGAATGTTCGATTGCAGATTGATATCATACTTCGTCCTCATCCACTTTGTGTACGATTTGTTCCTGTTTTGCAAAATTAATACAAAAACAGGATATAATCGATATAAATACTAACTGAATAAATGTTACTATATATAAATACAGTATATAAATACTGTATATAAATATTAAATACTGGATATAAACAAAAGATGTGTGTAATTCGTTCTATATTATTATATTAAATATATTATTATTAACAAATTAATTAACAAAATGAAATTCTCTAAATAATAAAACAATCATTTATCAATCAGAAATTTCCGGGCGATTGAGAGCAATAATAGCGCAGAAGTTGTTTGATTGGTTGTTTGATTTTCACATTAGTATATTTCAAATCTACATAAAATATCGATCGAATATTTCAGCCATCCGAATTCCATTCGAACCATCGTCAGCGATGAAATAAATACATGTGACATTGTTGGTTGTCATACATCATGTGATGTATTAAATCGAAAAGTGCAGCCAGTAGAGTCTCTCCAAATTTAAGTTATATCAGAGAGAAACCTAAGAGATTTTCAATAATGTAATACGTAATTAATTTTTCGAATAATTAGGACAACACAAAAACAAAAATTTATAAAAACAACTATCGACATATACAGTATTGAAGACTATTATTAAAAAAAAGTACTTGCGCATTCAATTTTTTTTATTTAATGAAAAGAAAGTGCTTTAAAATATCTAGAGTACAGAAATAAATAAAATATACTCTGATTGTAATATTTTTTTTCGTGTTTTGTCAAAGCCAATCTATTCTAACAAATCAAGTTCAGTAAGCTTGTCCATTAAGTAATCAGAATAACGATATACATGATTTATGTTGGATAACTTGATGCATTCGCGGATGAATAAATATGTATTGTACATTTTTTCAATTTTATCATTAATAAGTAAACTATGATATTTGCAATTCGAATTGTGATCACAAATGCTGAAATATACATAATATATTTTATAATATATTTTGTAATATGTATATATCTATTATAATAATATGATATTTTTTACAAATCTACACAATACAATTCAATGAAATAAATGAAATTTTCTCTTGTTTTTTGAAATATTTCATATATTATGACATGAGTCTATGTTCTATAATATAACATTCTAATACTTTTATGTTTTTATAATATTCTCCCGCTTTCTCTTTTCTTCTCTCCGTTTCTATATACACAACAGTTTTAGATTATTAATTGTAATATTATATGGTAAAAAAAGAACATATTTTTTATTTTCATGTAAAACTACTGATACAATAACATTTATATTGATTTTTTTTAAATATTTTGTTGCTTTATCTATAGTATACAATATATTTAGTAATTTAATACAGTTTTATAAAAACTATAAAATGCTATCATTTTACGAATTATGAATTAAAAATGAAATTAAAGATAAGAAATAACAGAAATAGAAATAGCATTTAATTATAGAGAAATAATTGCCAACTTTTTGCAAATCTGATTAAATCTGTTACAAAGACAGAAAATTATTTAAGAATGTATTTTTTTTTCTGATTACTTATATACATAAGTATTCTTTTAATAAAAATAGAAGCATTGAAAGTTTTTATACTTATCCTTTTTGGAACTGAGAATAAATATCGTAATGAAAATAGAATTCACAAAGAATAAAGAAATGGATGGAAAAAAAGAAAAAAATAAAAATTTTTTTATAATTAAAAATAATTAAATTTGAATAAAAAAAAATGTTTTTTACTTACCAGTCTTCATATAAATATGGCTCTAAATGTTCGTATGTTTCTAAGAACGTAACAATCTTATAGGAAATCGTTTTGAAGTAGTTTCGTCTACTTATGTATGGGTCTATTTCTTGAATATATTTGAGCAGATCATTGTATGAATCTCTATATTGCGTCCTGTTGGCCATATGACTCATGGAAGACAAAGTCTTTAACAGGATACTTCGGATAGCTTTATATTTGTCGAGTGACAAATTTTTTGCGACGTTCCTGCTCAAGTGTACGATTGCAAATAGCAGCATTACAAAAGTGTCTTTGGGAAACATTTCATAATACATCAAAGCGATTTGCGATACATCGATGGTGATGCGCATTATGTTTTCGTATGCCATCATTTCGTCAGTCCAACCAAGATAATACCAGAATATGAGTATCAAGTCGCACATAAATGTCGTGTATTCCTCTCCGATGCAATGCAATATCATATGACGTATAAAAGCTTCTCGATCGAGACTAAAAGATTGCACATAATTGCGCAACTCGGGATGACATCGTGGATTTACGCGTAATTGTCGACATATAACAATATAACGTTTCTCGTATTCCTGAATTATATTTAGCGCATTCATTCCATGCCATGCTTTCGTTATATCAAGCGGCTCCACACGGAACTGATCCTAGTGAAAATTTTTGTTAGAATTTTTATAAAAATTTTAGAAATATCACACTTTTTAGAAATATCTAAGTTTACAGTTTTTTTAGAATTTTATATAAATGTATGTAAAATCTAAAATATTCTAAGATTTCATATTCTATAATTTTTGAAAAAATATCTTAAACAGTAATAAACAATTTATTAATATAAATATGAATACATAAGTATAAATTTAATGCCTATAATAGCCGAAGCTGGATCTAGTTTCGATTGTTATAGGTATTTAAAATAGCTTAAACTTTTTCAGATTTTATAAAATTTCATTTAAAAATTATTGAAAATGAGAAATCTTGAAAATTTTTAGAATATTCTAGAATTCACACACACACACACACACACACACACACCACACATCACACACACACATACACGCACGCACGCACGCACGCACCATGTACGCACGCGCATATATGACAGTCTTAAAAAAATGTATAGTTGCTGTAAATAAATGTACAGTTTAGGTTACACTTCATAAATTTTATTGTTTTTTAGATACGTTGTAGGAGTGTAAGAAATTCTTCACAAAAATTAAATTAAATGGGAGACAGCATTGATTTAAGAGATATAATAAATTAAGATTTCATGAATTGCGAATAATTTTGGTAAATATTGAAAACAACAAATTCAGTTTTGATAACCTTAATCTTGACATATATTGTCAAGGCCTGACTTTGAGTGATCTTCACAAAATTTCAGTTGATGGTAATTTGTTAAGAAATTATGATTTATTAAAGACTGAAAGTTAATAAGAAGAAAATCAAAAATCCTTGTGGAACCGTACAATTATAGACTTTGTTTTAGCCCATTACATGTAACTTTGTGTTTGCTGGATAAGGAAGTATGTAAAGTAGATCTCGCTTCGCGTAGAAAATTCTAAATTAAAGTTAATAAGCTCTGCAAGCCTTATTATAAGACTTTAATTTGTTATACCTTTTAAAACAGAGCCATCTCTCATTTAATTTTTGTAGGAAATTACTCAGGACACTCATCTACAACATATTTAAAGAGTAGTAAAATCGATATAAATTAAAAACTGCACATTTATCTAGATTAGATTTACTTCGTTTCTAGAAAGTATTCTATTATAAACACTTCTAGTATTCTATTATATGTGTGGCAGTTGAATGACACATAATATTTATTTTCTAACATTAGTATTATCTATTAAAGAATTTTTCCTTCAACCCAATACTTAGAAAACATGAGAAATTTTCGAAAAAATTATAAAATCCTAGATAGCGACGTGTTTGTATTGTTATCGGCATGTTGCTTCCTGAGTATGCACTGCTAACTATGTATAGAATTGCAATTGAATCACATTTGTTAAGAACTTGATATTTTTATGATAATCTTGGGTAGCAATTTGCCAGCAATTTGCCGTCAATTTTACAATCATCATCATCAAGATTCGTATTATTGTCACATAATAATTGTCATATTGTCACATAATAATATATGTAGAATCACACAATGCTGTTATATTGCTAAATGTAATATTGATGCAGCTCTTGCGGTTAAATTACTGGCAGTACATATTGGATTGTTCGGAAAATTCGTGCCGATTTTAAAGGAAAATTGAAACGCAGAAGATTTAAATTTTTAATTTCATTTATTAAATTTAAATCTTTTGCGGCACGAACTTTCCGGACGACCCAATATGTTGCCAGCATGTTGCTATAATATCATTCAAAATCGTTGTCGTTAAAGACCGTGTTCGTATATCTATCAGTTGTCAATGCAATATAATATATATAACGGGAACTATAGATTTTCAGTACTAGTAGTCAATTGGCAATAATATACGACACATGGCCAAAGAAAAATCTATGGCAAATTGCCGGCATTATAAGCATCTGGGATAATTTAGAAATTTTGAAAATTTCTAAAATTTACACAAAAATTCTGAAGAATTATATAAAAACTTCTAAGAAAAAAACTTTACCATAATCGATATGCGTAATATATCATATTCTGTCAATTCCAATACATTTGAAATATATATACATTTCACTATGTCATCTATAAATTTTATCCATCTGGTTATTTGGAATTTTGAAAAAGTTGAGTTGAGTCTTCTTAACAATGATGCTTTTTTGATTAATACTATCATTAGCACTATGAACTTAGTTTTTTTTGTACAGAGCATTTTTTGCACAAGACTTCGTACATGTGACAATACATCATCCATGCTGATCTCTTCAATACAATCACTTATTAAATAGGGAATATAAAGTTCATTTATTACATCATCTGCAGTCATCATCTGTGAAAAATTTAGGAATAAAATATTTAAAAAATTTTTCAATAAAATGAAATTAAATTAATAATAAAATGAATAAATTAATAATAATAAAATGAAATTA